ACGGTGCACATCTAAATGACAGTGTACAAGCTGTTAAATGTTAAATTTCATAATCTTAGTACGGTTTTTAAATAGTTTTTATTGAAATTTTTTGAAGCAACAATTATTATTTCTAATTCAGTACTTTGGGAAACTTTGTTTAGTTGACAACAAATTTAATGTCGATTAATTTTGTCAGTCTCATAATATATGTATAAGAAAACTTATTATAAAAAACACTTGTAACTTGTGTACCTGCGTGTAATTTTACGCTACACTTTACACTGCAACTGTAGCTGATATAACTGTATATACTATTCGAGAAGTAAGATAAAGGTAGGTTATGTAGGCTGCCTAATGAGTACCTCACGCGCGCCCCCTGACGCGCATGTGCTCTCAGTAGGCTGCCTAAGCAGGGCCTCATGAACTACAGAGGCAACCGACTTTCATTTCTGTTCGGATTATATACTTACCCGAGGTCAGATCGACTAATACAAATTCTCGAGCGACTCATTCGGCCATGCCCCCTTCTATACACCCTTGCGCTAAATGTTTTTCAAGAATTTCTCCTCCCCTGTACCCTCCGACTCCCAGGGTACAGATAAAGAATTTCGCGTTCACGCTCCAAAAAGTGTAAAAGGACTAGTCTATGATATATATACCCTCATCATTACCTTCTCCCGTAATCGTCGAAAAAGCCACGTTATTTCAAAGTGATGTACCGTGTATAGGGAAGGGGTTCGTTAACCCGTTGAATCGAGACTCACGTATACGCGAATCGAACGTATATTATACGGTATGTATACATATACGTGACCGCGCGGCGTTTCCTTCCTGCCGGTCGGTGTATNAGTGGCATACACATCCAGTTAGTATCCAGTACATTGAAACCGACAAGTCCATCACACCTTACAAATCCATGGTTTTTTTCTGACCATAAAGACACATAGAGAATAAAGATTACTTTGAGACCTCGAAATTTCTTTTTTAAGTAAAACTTGGAATTTACTTAAAGAACAAATTTATTATCTCTATTAACATATGTTATTTAATTTGTTTAATTTGATTCTACGAATTTTTTTTTTTTTTGATTGTGCAAAGTAGACTGATTGGCCATAATCAGAAGGAAATTCATGGATTTGTGCGTTGTGATGGACTTGTCGGTTTCAATGTACTGGATACTAGCTGGATGTGTATGCCATTTGAAGAGATCCATGATAAAGTAGCTTACTTTTGCTGCATACTACTGTTTCTGGCAAACTTATAAAAATCACCGAAACTTATTAGCAAGGCTGGAAATAAAGATCTGCCCATGCAATACAAGTTTACCTGTCCAATGACCCCGTGACTTTTACTACATAGCTGGTTAACAGATTGAAAATTTGTTGAGATTAAGCTTTCATGTTTTTTGTAAGGCAGGTGGACTTTTCTCTTATCTATCTAAATTTGTGTATAGAATTTGGCTTATATACTTACATAGTTAACTTTAGTAACGAATTGTCATTTTTCTGTAAGGTGCAAAGTTGTTTGCATAGAAAACTCAACTTTGTTGTAAAATAACTGCTTGCCTGAGGTATTTTCAATCTGTTAACTGGCTATCTAGTAAAAGTTACGGGGTCATTGGACAGGTACACTTGTATCGCATAGGCAGATCTTCATTTCCAGCCTTGCTAATAAGTTATAGTGATTTTCATAAGTTTGCCAGAAACAGTAGTATGCAGCAAAAGTAAGCTACTCTCTCATGGATCTCTTCAAATGACATACACATCCAGTTAGTATCCAGTACACTGAAACCGACAAGTCCATCACACCGCACAAATCCATGGTTTTTCTTCTGATCATAAAGACACATTCTACTTTGCACAATCAAAAAAAAAAAAAATTCGTAGAATCAAATTAAACAAATTAAATAACATATGTTAATAGAGATAATAAATTTGTTCTTTAAGTAAATTCCAAGTTTTACTTAAAAAAGAAATTTCGAGGTCTCAAAGTAATCTTTATTCTCTATGTGTCTTTATGGTCAGAAAAAAACCATGGATTTGTAAGGTGTGATGGACTTGTCGGTTTCAATGTACTGGATACTAACTGGATGTGTATGCCACTTGAAGAGATCCATGAGAGAGTAGCTTACTTTTGCTGCATACTATTGTTTCTGGCAAACTTATGAAAATCACCATAACTTATTAGCAAGGCTAGAAATAAAGATCTGCCCATGCGATACAAGTTTACCTGTCCAATGACCCCGTGACTTTTACTACATAGCCGGTTAACAGATTAAAAATTTGTTGAGATTTAGCTTTCATGTTTTTTGTAAGGCAGGTGGACTTTTCTCTCATCTATCTGAATTTGCGTATAGAATTTGGCTTATATACTTACATAGTTAACTTTAGTAACGAATTGTCATTTTTCTGTAAGGTGCAAGGTTGTTTGCATAGAAAACTCAACTTCNTTATACATTTCTCATTAAGATTCGCCTGATATTTACAAGTATACTCGCGTGCATAAAGTTCATCAGGTATGCGAGTATAACTCTATATATATATATATACCTTAAGCAGACGAAATCAGGAGGCGGTTGGGTAGAAGCTTGGGCCCAAGTCTGTGCCCATTAGAAATATACACTTGGCCCTACCTTGGCTAACTGGGCATCTTGATTTGGGCCAAGCTGTCACCAATTTTCAATTTCCAATCGGGAGTATTTAATTTGTAAAGGCCTACGCAATGAAAGCACAAGCATATGCACAGGCACAGTGCACAAAAGAATAACATTGGTTGATATATCTATATCTGTGGAAACGTAAAGCACTCTGAACAGAAATTGTAAGTAGGCGATCAGTATAAGTGCCTACTTAGGCTGCCTTTGTTGCCAACTAAAGTCCTACGTTGGCAGCGTCAGGTGGCGTTTGGTAGGGCCTAAGTAGGCTGCCTCTATTGACGTAACATAACCAACTTTCAATCGGTAAATATAGATATGTACAAATGAGAATACACATTGTATTATAATTGAACAAAAGTCATGCTTCAATTTAAACGAATCATATTTAATTTCTTCATGAAAATTTTTTATCACGGCATTGTTGATCATGTGTAGTTACAAAAATATAACCCTAAGATGAATAGAAATTTTACATAAATAAAGATATAAATGTCACCTTAAAAGTATCTCTCATTCACAATTGATATCAAGTTTACAATATGAACATGTATTTCGTGAGTTAATTCTGAAGAACTATTAAATAATCACTAATATAAGGAATTAATACAAATTACATGCTCACACTGCAGTTTACTTTTTTTTCATACAAAAACATATTAATTCAATTAAATGATACAGGAACTTGATTTGACGGTGCACATCTAAAGGACAGTTTACAAGCTGTTAAATGTTAAATTTCATAATCTTAGTACGGTTTTTAAATAGTTTTTATTGAAATTTTTTAAAGCACCAATTATTATTTTTAATTCAGTACTTTGAGAAACTTTGTTTAGTTGACAACAAATTTAATGTCGATGTCGATATAGGACTCAATGAAAGACACTTGTAACTTGTGTACCTGTGTGTTATTTTAAGCTACAGTTTACACTGCAACTGTATACACTATTCAAGAAGTAAGATAAGAAGTAAGTAAGTTATGTAGGCTGCCTAATGAGTACCTCACGCACGCCCCCTGACACGCCTACTTGTGCCCTCAGTAAGAGTAGGCTCGTAGGCTGCCTAAGTAGGGCCTCATGAACTGGAGAGGCAACCGACTTTCGTTTCTGCACAGCACAGCGCGCTGTTCATCACGTTTATTCGCTCCGAGCCGATACAGAGGTTGCGCCCCCTCTAGCCAAAATCAGGCAATATTTCTTGCATGTAAACAAACGGTTTAGAACATATATACATACGTATAGCTGCTTGTGATTGGCTGAATAAGACAGCAGGAGAGGATCGTCGTTCTCTCTCTAGCTTGCCAAGTGCCAATCACAAGCAGCTGTACGTATGTATATATGTTCTAAACCGTTTGTTTACATGCAAGAAATGTTGCCTGATTTTGGCTAGAGGGGGTGCAACCTCTGCATCGGCTCGGAGCGAATAGGTATACCAACTAATGTTGTTCTTGTGCACTGTGCCTGTGCATTTGATTGCGTTTTTTACTGCGTGAGTGCGTAGGCCTTAATTGTTTCTTTATCGATTAGGGTCATATTAGGGTAGTTCAAGTGAGTAATCGCGTTCTTAAGTGTGTTTAAGATACCCGGACGTAATCTCTTGGGACAAATTCCCTGTTTACCCCATGTTAGGACACTATCACTCTACTCATTAAAAAGTTAAAATCTCATAGGGACTCTCAGTAAAAAATTTATAACCATTATTACACCTATAAATTGTAGCTATACAAGAGTTATTATTACCTATAAAACAGCTATACATTATAGCTGTAAGTTTTGCTTAAATTTATTCACAAAAAAATTGGTGTAAAATCGGATTTTTTTAAAGTTAACAAAAGAACTCATGCAATGATCCGTATATAATAACATCAAAAATCGGAGCTTGAAGTTTGAAGTATTTTTGAGTAAGTAGAAAAAAAAAATTTTTTTAGGTTTTTCTCTACTTATTCAAAAATACTTCAGACCCCCAGTTTTGATCTTATCATACAAATGATAGCATGAGGTTTATGATTGACCATTAAAAAATCCGATTGTCAGCCAATTTTTATGTAAATTAATTTGAGCAGAATTTACAGCTAAAATTTATAGCTATATTTATAGCTGTTTTTTAGGTATAATATAGGTATAATATACTATAATTTATAGGTGTAATTATAGCTATTAATTTTTGACTGAGCTAGAGTAACCAAGGACCGACCTCTCAGAATTCGATTGACTTGGCATTTAAGTGCGTAACCAGGTGACGGACCAAACGCCCAGGACCATAAAGAAGAGGAAGAGCGTCATCTACATGTCTGTAGTCTATGACCGTGAGCCAGGTATTAACACGTGCAAGGGCCCATACTTTTGGAAACACGTTAAATAACGATGGCTGACACTGCGTCCTATGAAGTAGTCCTCATGTTCCAAACAATAGTGAATGTCTCTAAGTTAATAATTGGTTTACTGCATAAGCATTCTCGATTTTTGTTAAATTTATTTTTAATTTCTTTGGTCCTGTGTTTTTGTTTACATCCATTGCGCTTTGCATCTCACTATAACTACATTTGTCCTGAAAAAATTCCATTTGAATTGGAGCCAGCTTACTTTCCAAAAAAAAATGCATGCATGATTGTAGTTGCAACTCAAGCTCATCTTCAGCTCTTTTATCCTGATAAAAAGCCCCTAGAAGAGTCTCAGTTTCTTGCGTACCGACTGAGCATATTACCTGGTGGACAGTGGCGGCCACAGCGTTGTCAACCGCTATTCAATGTTGCCATAATACTACCATACAGAAATCGTCAAATCCAGTTACTAATTTTTTTAAACTATATACATCCATTTCTACAGTTACAAAATCTGGACTATAGAATATTTGTTGTAGAACAAACTTCTGATAAAGAATTCAATAGAGCAAAGTTGTTTAATGTAGGTTTTGTCGAGGCAAGTAAAACAAGCAACTTTCATTGCTTTATATTTCAAGATATCGACCTTATACCACAGAATTTGAGAAATATTTATGCATGCACTAAGCTACCAAGGCATATGAGTTCAAGTGTCAATACGTTCAGATATAATCTCCCATACACTGGATTATTTGGAGGAGCAATTGCGATTACTAAACATCTTTTTCTACAAGTAAATGGATTTTCCAATGTTTACTTTGGTTGGGGAGCAGAAGATGATGACTTTTATAATAGATTACAAAGTAAAGGTTTACCTGTAAGTTTTCCCAAGTATTAATGAGCATGGGCATTATACATTACTTGTAGACTTCACATAGGTTTACTTTAAAAAACCCCAGTTGATCCTTTTCACGCAAAAGTCAATTCATATCAATTTTAAATATAAAGTTGGTTTTAACAGTAAATTTTAGTGCTTCAAAATATATTGGAACCGAGATTGATTATTAAGTGTCGATTCAAGTCAATTGAAATACATGGTCATACAAATAAATAAGTACTGAATTTCTTCTTTTGCTTGGTTATGTAGGCTTTTGGATTTAAAAATAAGTTATTTTAAATTAACACCTTTCATTGACCAACTGTATAGGTAATTGTGTAAAATTTAATTAACCCATACATAAGGTAAAGAAATTTAAAAAATCTGCATGGATCGATGTGGATTTTGTTACATCAGTGCTACACTCAGGCTGATCTTGCAAATTCGGAGAAAAGACTTGATGGAGTTGTCCTGCATGCTGTCAGATCTTAAATAGGTGGACTTAATGAATTTCGGTAGAGCCACTGTCTATATTACCTACAATAAATTTTGTGAACATTTTTGTAATTTCCGCTTCCTCGCAGCAGGAGTCGAGGATCGAGCAGATGAGCACTGGAGTCGTAAATTTTGTTTAAAAGACTGTAAAAGTAGCTCAACATTAAATTAACCAAAAAATAAAATCGGCTTACATCATAGAGCGAGGTTATTTAAGTAGTTTGTAGAGTCATTCAAAAATAAATAGTTATGTTTGTGATAAACATTTTACTGAGGACAAAATTCATGATCCAAATGTCCTTAAGGACGTATCTGGCAAAATTTCAACAAGTAAAGTAACCACATAACCACTGATTTTAAATTAAATTGTACAAAAGATCTTATTTATTAAAAACACATTCTAACTGCTGTATTTATAAATTGTTAATTGACAATGGTATAACTAGGAAACATAAAAAAACGTGGAGGACTTGTATACGTAAATAGTGATTTACATGATATACTAAAAAACAGGAAAAAATATTATGTTGATCATTGAAAAACGTTATAAATAGTACTTAAGAAGCAACTATTAAAAGTATCATACGCAATTATAATTTCAAATTTCCTTGCAATGATCATAGAGAGCATATGATTGCGGGATTTTTCCATTATTACATTTTTATGAGCTTAAGGCAACATGGGAAAAAGTATGAAATGACAACATTTAAGAGCAAAGCAAAGAACACAAAAAATCGTTATAATTATTGAAAAGTCTAGTTTACTAGTTACTATTTGTTAATTTCATTTTAATTTTTTTCTTATACAGCATGATCGTCGTTCTCTCTCTAGCTTGCCAAGTGCCAATCANTTACTTTCAGCGAGACATTGCGCCATATTTTGAGCAATACATTGAGCCATACTTTTTTCCATACTTTGAGCCATATTTTTATCTATACATTAAGCCATATATAAAGACATACGTTTCCCAAATTGAAAATGACTAATAAAAACTGGTAACAGTTTTTTTTATCTGTTTGTATTCGGTTTTTGCACTAGGAAAACCAAATAAAAAACAGTAACGTTTGAAAGTTAATTTTTCTCATATCTATTTTCTTACTAGTGTAAGATTGAATATAAGTAAATTGACTAATTCAGTCGTAAGATCCGGATGGCCACACCAAAACAGGGGGGTTCAAGTATTTTATATGGAATCTTTAAAAAAGTAAGAAAAAAACTGTTCATTGTAATTCTACGTAAAACACATAAACCCCCCTGTTTTGGTGTTGCTATCCTGATGGTAGTACTAAATTTATCAATATACTTACGTTCAATCTTGTGCTCGTAAAAAAATAGATATGAGAAAAATTAACTTTTGAACGTTATTGTTTTTTATGTGGTTTTCCTAGTGCAAAAACCGAATATAAACAGACAAAAAAAAATTTTATCAGTTTTTATTAGACATTTTCAATTGGTATGTATATTTAGGCTTTTACTTATAATAAATGTGAGATCATTAAAGTTTAATTATAAAACTTACATGGATACTTTCATTTGTAGTCAGTCAGTCGGTCCCATTCTTTGAGAAAGTTAGGTCGCAATTCACTTAACGATGAAAATGTTTCAAAAATTATATGTTACAAAGAAACATAGATATTGTCACCAAATTTCAACACAATCGCATTTACAGATTTCGAGAAAAAAATCCATGAAGCTTCCGTATTTGGTCGTCTTCAACATGGGCTCAAATGTAAGTTATGAGAATAGTTGTAGAAAAATACCTATTACCCTTGACACAGTGATGAGAATGTTTTGAAAAACTCATATCTAGACGTCGCATTGTAACTTTTTTTTCGTGTATTTGTAGTCCAAGGCACCTCCACATGGTTGACGGTAGGCAACGGAGCTTATCCGTTATCCTGCGGAAACCCTGGATAACAGCGTTTACGCCGTCATGGAAAATGCACGTAAAAAATGTACGATGCAGGGGTCGGATCCCCTGTATCAGTGGCTGGTCAGTGTGGAAAAGCGAGCCCGCAGGCGTCGTCATTATATACCGCCGCTCCGTAGGGTGGAATCTTTGGACTCTACGGAGTCTAAGACTACGAAAAACATTCATGATGATTTGAAGAAGCTGGACAGTTTTTGTTACGTGTGTGGTCGTTTAACACCTCAAAATATTAGAAAAAATATAACTGACTGTTTGAAATGCTTACAAGTATCTTTTTAGAACAAACCCAGCAGGCACGGAAACACAATATGAATTGTAATTGAATTCTTTTTTTTTAATTCTTAAAGAATTCATTAGAATGAATTCAATATGTATTCAATATGTGATCATATGTCTTCAAAAGAATTCTTAATGAATTCTTTTTACATATAATTTTACGTCGTTAAGTACACGTTAGGAATTCATAAATTCATCAACTTATGTCATGTGAGATGGGCCCAACAAGAGTTCTTAAATAATTCATTAGTCTTCATGTAAAAAATCTTCTTCATCGACTGTCTGTAATTATTGCACATACATATATCAGCCTGATATCTTAATTCGTTCCCAGCGAAATTCAAATGATTTATTTATTTAATTAAAAATAATAACCTAAACGTCAAAATAAATTGATGTCACTTTGTTACGAGGTTAATCCCGACACAACTTTCATTTATCTACAACTACGATATGGTTATAATTATTACTCGTATTTTATTATAATTAATAAAAAGAGTTAAAATTTTGCGGGCAACGGGCTAATGTATGTATGTATGTACATTGGGTGCGTTTTTTTAAGTAGTCGGTCGGTCGGTAAACTTGTTTATGAGTCTATTTGGATGTGTATAATCGAAAACTCTCGGTGCCGATCACCAGGACATCGTCATCGGCACCCCCGTATACCTAGACTCTCGTTAGAGTCTAATTGAATTTTTTAGTTAAAAACTCTAGGTGACGATTACCAGAACATCGTCATCAGCACCCTCGTATACCTAGACTCGTTTCTGGCTGTATTTAAGAGTTTATAACTAATAAAAACATTGAATTTCAGATGGAATCCTAAAATCATCAAAAGAGTATACAAAAATGTAGTCATCATGTGAAGACTTGGCTTCAACATACCTCTGACAGGCTTAAACAAAAAACTAAGAAGACTACTGCCGCAGAGCTGGTTCTGAACCTGTTATTTTAAGTTGAGAACATTACTTTGTTTTGATGTTTAATGTTTTCTAAAAGTATTTTCATTGTAGTTACTTGAAAGTTTTACTATCGTTCTAAAACGAAACCCGTTTTTTACACATATATTTCAAATTTTTTTTACATATATTTCAAATCTGTTCTTTAAATTATTATA